ACGAATAGTCAGCTTCTATTTGTTCTATTTGTCTAGCGAGCCATAAAAAGTTCTTTCTTTTTTTTAATTTGTAACGACGGGCGACTAGTAGACTAGTAGAGTATTTACTTTGTATTTTAATTTTCTATCCCTGTTAGAACAGGTGACTCGTCTGTCTGATGAAATTTGTCTTTGACATCGATTCCCCGATGTAACCGACCCTAATTTGTGCAAACCAGGGTCAATGAAAGAGGTTGAAAGAGGTAACGGGAAACCGTTGATGTCGCGAGTGTTTCGTATGAATATTTACGAGCTAGATAAAAGTAACGCGAATACTGTCACTCGATTTCCAGCTAAATCGAGCGTCTACGATGTTCTATAAAACGTTTTGTAGCATCGGAACGTTTACGATTCGCAGGATCGTGGTCACGCAGAATTTTCGGTTTCGCGGAAGAAGAGCGAAGAAGGCGTTTTCAACTTGCGTTTTCAATTCCCTTGTTGTCAAACCGGTGACCAACTATTTTACACGAAAATTCTGTAATCGCGTTTTCCATTAACGAAACAACGATCGCGGAGGCGGTGAAGAAAGTTTTCATGTAAATTGCAACCGGACAGAAACAGATTTTAAAATACAAGTAGTAACTGTCTGCAGCTTGCCACGAAAATTAGTTCATACGTTGTTTATGAAAGAAACATACTTCATATCTCGTGTCGTAAATTTTGCTTCTTGAAAGAAGAACGAGATTGGAACATGAAAATTGTAGAATTTAAAGAAACCAGCAAGATTAAATATTTATTAACATTTTGTTACGCTTTTTCGTCTTCTTACGTTTGTTACGCTTCTGCATCTGTCGGCATATAATTCGCCTCCAAACGCTTCTAAAACGATGATTAGCATACGCGAAAGAAGTTGGTCTGCAGCGAGTTCGTCTAATCGAGTGGTCTCGATCGATCGGGTCGTCGGTCCCGTCCCATCCCGTTGCGTCGCATCGCGTCGCGTCGCGTCGTATACGCGGCTGCAGGAGTGCGCTGCAGGTTCGTTGCACTTTCGGCCGCATTTGTAAAACTGCATGCCACTGCACCATCGGATCTCTCGTTCTCGCCACGAAACTGCTGCGATGATCGAATTCCATTCTTAATCGGTTCGATGGCCACGGTGTAGTATAATATTCGCCTATATTGCGAGCATTAATACCGACGAAAAATGCAACGAAAATAAAAATGAAGAATCGTCTGTGATATTTAATCGAAAGCCGTAATCGATCCAAATTAAATTGACCTTTTATTATTTTTAATAATTGCATGCAAAATAAATAATTAAGAAAAGATTTCTCGATCCGTACTCGCTTCGAACTGGAAATCAAGCAAGATTTGCCATCGACGAAAGATATTATTTCCCTTTATTACATTATAATCTTGGTATGTGCGGCCAAAGCGAAAAGGCAGGATTATGATTGTTGGATGGGTAAACGTTAGCTGTAAATGCAGTCTGTTCGGGTAGCGGAAGGAAGCTGCGGGGAAATTCTTGTGGAAGATGTGAGGAAATAAGGAGGGCTGGTCCGTCGTGTTTGCGATGCACATTCATAAAGTCGGCGATGTTGCTAAGGGATCTTTATCCGGTTCGGCGATCTGTCAAAATGATCGAATCTCTATGTCAGCGTTGTGGCGACAAGCAGGCACAAGCAGGAAAAGTGGAAGGAGACAGGAACACACAGACGGTTAGGCAGAGAAAACAGGAGGAAGAGGAAAATCAGACGATCGTAGCCTTTAGCGATGTGGTTGGTATTCGAGTTGACTACACGTATTGGGCCACGTTCAGCCAGTGGAGCTCATGCTGGCAGAAGGAGCAGAATGAAACGAGGACTGAGGTTGGTGGAGCTGGCCGATATGTTGGCGAGGGTCGATTAAAATGCAAAGAAAACTACAGCGAGCTATCCAAGGACTCGGAGAAGAAGGTCTTTCTTCTTCGACTCGGGCAGGGCTGTCAGAAAGCAGAAGAGATACGAAGAGCGAATGGGGGAGGGGAACAAAGGAAGGCGGTAGTATCTAGACGCAAAACAGAGAAGAGAAGAGAAGGGAAAAAAGGGGAAAATAGAAGACGGCAAGAAAGGAAGGGACGTATAGATAGATATTCTATAAGTACGTATACCCGCGTACCTGTTCTATTCTCTTCTTTTTGTCTTTAAGAGAATATCCCTCCTCTCGGGACATTTCGCCTAGTCTCTTTTTGTCTCTCGTCTGTTTTACTTCCAGCCCGTTTTTCCGTACACCGGTAAGGAGTGTGCTAGGAAGAAAGGAAAGAGGTGGGGCAGGGAAAGCGAAGGTGGGTGCGTCAATGTGGACGAGTGAAAGAGATAGTAGCGGTCGAAAAGGGATGGAAATTCTGGGTAGCTGCCAGATGGCGCATTGCGCTCTAGAATCTCGCTTCCCGAGTTTCTAACGTTTCCAGCCAAACACCAAAATTCTGTATGTGTGTGTGTGTTTCTTGCGCGGCTGTGCAGGATCGCGTGTGTGTTACGTAGCTTCACGGACGCGTATCCGTATATCTCCGCAACAGAGAAGATTGCGCGCGGGCTTTTAGGGTTTCCCAAAATCCGGGGCACGAGTGCTAGCTCCGCTCGAAGCCCTAAATTTCTCTGCGAACTCTCGATTAACGACACCTAGGCTCGCGTCCTAAGCTGAAAGTGCCGCCCCAGGCTAATCGGCCTAGAGACGCGTACTCGTAACGTACCGTAATCGTATTCCCAGGCAGAGAAGCGTAAGGTTACACGCCCTCGAGGCGGGATCGATACTTATAATTACATGTACGATTCTTTCTTTTCGTCTCGAGATCGTTTATCGATTCGTATTAAATAGGACGCGCAAAGTGCGTTGGTTATCCGGGCCACGAATGCAGCAAGTTTTCGAATGCCGTCGCGTTGATCTTGAATCACTACGGTAGATTTGTTCGAGTAGAACAAATTCAATTTAGAATCGAATAATACGCGCGTTTGTACACAGTAACGCGTGTTTAACGCCGATACGAAATTAGTGGGAAAGTTGGAATAGAACGGACACAGAGCTCGAATAGCGAGCGTGGAAGGGTGATGGATGTTGGAAACGGTATACTCTGTGCGCGCGATGTATACACCTCGATCGCGATATAACAGCGTTCTATGTCAATGCCTATACGCTAGTGTGCCTAAACCATTCGGCAGAGACTCTAGAGCAGCGTAATTATACCTTGACAGCTAATTTCAATTACAAATAACCGTGTGCTTTGTCATTCTCCTATTGTCTTTGAATAATCTCCTATTCAGCCTGTCGTCGAGATTTCCGGACTTGTGCGGATTTTCCGACTTTCATTCTAAAACGGCTTTATATATGTCGGAGTCAGGTAGGCATTTCGGGGCATTCGATGAACCTTTACTTACTTTACCGTTGCGGATGTAGCTAATATTTATCGGTACAAATGGGGCACTACAAGAGACTATGAGTAATGGTGATAGGGTGGTCGAGATGATGGTGACAACGAATTCAGGTTCGATGACGAATCCACGATCCACGGGAGGACAAGTATCTACGTAGTACTCGATTCGGGTAACTTCTCGACAATTCAATCAGAAATTCGTCCAACGGTTAACTAACAAGCTAACTCTCCTCTCATCCAAAAGAAACTGTCCTTATATACTGCTGTCCTCAGTTCTCGGGTCAGTCTTTGTTTTTAAGGAGAGCCATATAATCATTTTATACTTCTGTCAGGTACACGTCCCTTCCGAGACCGTGGCTACGTCTAGCGATCTGCTATGTCACTTCGAGCCCGAACCTATCGTCATAAAGTCAGGTTGGAACATTAATACTATTTCTTATTTTTATTATTTAAGCGCAGCTATAGTAAAAGTTTGAACTAAGGTATTGTGGTTTTTCCCAACATTCCGGACGGCAAATCCCGATGTTCTTTCATCTCCGACATATATAATAAAGTTTTCATACGAAATCTATCTTTATCTTGTATATCTCTGTTTAAGCTTTTTTTTTATATAATCGATAGCTTCAATCGATACGAATCGATGATTTTTTCGATCTTCGATCTCGCGATATCTGCGCTAACTGTCCCTTTCGGACACGTAGTACGGGTCATGTAGCTGGGGAATTCTCAACGCGAGAATTGATTGTAATTTTAATAAATAAAAAAAAAAAAAATGTAGCTGGGGCTACGCGTCACCCTCGACTAACGGCGACCATGAATTCCCGCAGCAATCTGCAAGGTGCCATCCGACCGTCTATCCTTGATCTTGACGCGGCTTTCGCAAACTTTTCTCTGATCGAGCGACCTGCCTCGACGGGTCCCTCGATATGAATCGTTCGCTCCTGTGCTTACCGCTTTCTCTTCGTCCTATCCTACTTTTCTTGTTCTTCGCGAGTACTTGGATGGCTAAAGGATTAACTCGAGTATACTTCGTGTCGTGTGCTTTCTTTCGAGGCAAGGAGAAAACAGTCGCCGCGATCGCGTTCTCGCTTTTTCTTCTCCGTCTTGTTAACGATTCAGAACAGTGTTGCACTGGAAAAGCGCACGAACCGTTTGTTTGCGTTATCCTACTCTCTATGCTCTATACTAACTATGCGTTTTACCTGGGCATCGACGCGAGATTTCATTTCAGATGCAAGGTAATCTATAACGATGTTGGGACGTGTCTGTTTGCGAGGCCTAAACAAAAGCACGGCCGTCAATGATCGTTCCTCGCCGTTGGAGAAAAAGGAAGCGGAATGAAGCGAGATGAGATGAAACGAGGGTGAGATATCCGCGAGGGAATCGCCAGGCTGTTATCCTCGCTTTTAAAATCGGTAAAATCGATCGAGTAGGAAGGCGAGACCGGATCGTTTACACGGCAGAAAAATAATATCGCGTCGCGATCCTTCAACGATCTTTCGCTTGTCGAAGTTAACGTCTTGCGATTGTTAGCGGGTCGTCCGCTGGATGGATTTAAAATATGGCTTAAGAGCGCGTGGAATGCGAAAAGCCTGCCGCGTTCCTCGCTTACCCTCCCCCAGCTTCCTTCCAACGTCCTTTTTCCTCCCTCTATGGCCAAACGTACAAGGCGGTGTGTAGCGGCTCTGGAAAAGGGGGAGGAAATTGCGCGAGAGAAGAGGAGACGCAGAGAGAAATACAAAGAAGAAAAGGGATACGCTCCATACGTATATTTGGAGAAACAGGAAGACTGAGGGAGAGAGGGAGGCTTTCTTTCTTCTTTTGTGATATGCTTCATCTTCCACTCTATGTGCGCGCGTGTACGCGTGCATACTGGTGTGAATACGTATGTGTTTATGTGCGTGTAGTTCGTGCGTTTGGTCGTGTTGCTATGTTTGTTTGCGAGAGGAAAGGGGGCGGCAAAAGATGGACAGAGGGTAGAAAGAGACGACTCTCAAGAGCATGAACCGTCGCCATAGAACGATTCCGACTCTCTTTTTCTACTGGAAATAACAGAAATCCAGAACCTCATGAACGTTGCGTTGTTCTCGATGAGATTCGTATAGAATAGAAATTGATCGACCTCGACACCGTAGCTTCCTTTCGCTCGTGAATATCTCTAGGAAATTCTGCGCTTGCCTAGCGACTACGAGGAAGCGTGCGAATCCGAGAGAAGATCCTCCGGTTCTGTGGAAAAACGCGCACGTATTGGAATTTCTGTTAGCGACACGCGATGGACCTTTTGTACGGAGCTGAGAAAAATGGCTCTACAAGTCTCGACTGGTGACACGCACGGACCAAAGAATGTAACTGCGAGGGTGCTGGCTACGACCTCGTGATGTCGTAAGAAATTGGTTTGTCTATCGGCAAGTTGTCTGTTACGGACCGCGATTCTTTCCTCTCACGTTCTATAGGATTGCGCGAATCTTCTGCCTTTTCACTTTTTTCTTCTCTTTCTTTTGTTTCGTACCAAGGCTCGGTAGGTACGTTCACGAGGACAAACCACGATGATGGTACCCCAATGGTGGTAGCCACCCACATGTTATATTAGTATACCGCTATAATATTTTACCAAATGTCCTACTGGACAAATTGTAAAATTTAAATAAATAAATAATAAAAAAAAACGAGGATAAAGAGAAAGAAGACATGAACGCGAGACGAAAGTAACGAGAAGGCGAAATGGAGAGGATAGACAGGAGCGAAAGGCTCGACATCAAGAGTTTTATCGGCAATTTCGTAAAGAATGTGACGAGGATCTGTTTCAGGAAACGAGGCTCGCCCGGTGAACACTATCGTCATACGTTTCATCAGAATATTTAACGAGAAAGAAAATAGGATCTTGTCTTACGCGTGATCATGTTGGCCAATCGAATGGGCAGTCAATGTGACAACGTTTCGAACGTCTTGATGCTATTTTCATACGAATTTAAATAAAAAAAGGGAAGGGAAGAAAGCGGATAAAAAAGTAAAATATATTTTCTTGCGGCGAAATTAATTTTCTGTCGATCTATCACTTACCTATATTCGTTGATCGTTTGTTTCGGTATAATAAACGGAGTCATGTGTTTGCCAATAATGCCAAGTTTGTAGAACACAGCCGCGAGTTAATATCCTGTCTGCACAGCGGCAAAACTCGATAAGCCTTCGTCACGAAACAATTATATGTCGGAGTCAGGTTGGCATTTTGAGCCGTTCTATGAACATTTACTTACTTTACCGTCGCGGATGTGGCTAATATTTATCAGTCCGAATGTGGGCACTACAAGAGGCTAGTGTAATGACAATAGGATGTTCGAGATGATGGTGACAACGAATTCAGGTTCGATAACGAATCCACGGTCCACGGGAGGACAAGTATCAACGTACTACTCGATTCGGGTAACTTCTCGACAACACAATCAGCAATTCGTCCAACGATTAACTAACCAACTAACTGACTGCCCCTTGATCCAAAAGAAACTGCCCTTATATACTCCTGTCCCCACTTCTCGGGTCTATCTTTGTTTTTAAGGAGAGTCATATAATCATTTCATACTTCTGGCAGGTACACGTCCCTTCCGTGACCGTGGCTACGTGTAGTGACTCGCTATGTCACTTCGAGCCCGAACCGATCGTCATAAAGTCAGGTCGGAACATTAATACTATTTCTTATTTCTATTATTTAAGTGCAGCTATAGTTCTTTCATCTCCGACATATATATTGGTCCAGCGTGTTCGGGCATTCGCTGGCAACTAGTGTAATTAGCGACGCTACTTTATTTACCAATTTATATGAATACGCCTAATTTACCAAGAACATGATGTTGATAAATTCCTGGCACGTCCAATCTCTGCATGAATTTCTATCAAATTTACGGTTTTAAGATCGACGACCATCGTAATGCTTCGATATGACTTCGATATGACGGCTTTCGTTCGAGTTATGAATTTCATTTCGTATGAAATAATCCGCTGGCAGAGGGAAGGGCAAGAACAATTTCCCTTTCCCTCGAAAATACAATCACGTGGTAGCTTTATAAACAGCGTAGAACGACGTACTCTTTGATCGACAGGAAATTAAGATTTGTCGGGTACGTGGACTTGGCAAAAATTCCAACGGCCAAACCCGACTTCTTTCCAACAAATGTTACGCGTTTTTTCTCCTCTTATACCATATTTTATGGCGAGAAAGTCGCGTCAAGTTTCCAGGACCACCTTCAGCGTGGCGTAAAAGCTTTTACGGTGTATCCGAACGAGGATCGCTTCCGAAGAAAAAGATTTTATTCGATCGCAAGGGATAAGAGAGAGAGAGAAAGAGAGAGGTGGAAATTTTCAAACATTCGTATGACTGTTGTATCACGTAGAAAATGTACGAGCGCGAGCACGCGCATCGATTTATTCGTTGACGGATGAACTCGGCTTCTCGTATTAATTTCATCCCTGCGTAATCGTGAATTCGGTCGAACGGATCAATTTATCGTGGTTCGGTAACAACTTTCGCGAACTTGTACGATCAAGTTATCGCGTCGATGGGGCGTAAATGACGAGACACGAGGAACTAAGCCAAGGATAACGTGACC